CGCTATCGACGTCCATGACTACGTCTTCTTCTTCAAGCTCACAAGTCCATGGTTCGTCGTCGCATGTGCGCTTTACCCGACATAAAACTTCCTACGTTCGACACATCGACACCTGGTTTAATTTCCATGATCTGTATGTCTCTCTGGTTCACTCTTCTGTCGAATTATCTAACATCCAGAAGTTTTACTACCTTCGTTCCTCTCTGGCTGGAGAGGCCTTAAAACTGGTTCAAACGATTACCATCAGAATCTGCTGGTTGAGCATTATCAAAACCCTTCGCGTCTGAAACAATCTCTTTTCGAAGTCGGTACCCTGAAACGCGAATCTGGAGCCGATTTACATCTGCTGGTAGAGAGCTTTGAAGCCAACGTGAAGGTGTTGAAGCAGCTCGATGAGAGAACCGAGTTTTGGGACCTCATTCTGATCCGTATGCTCAGTGTCCGCCTAGATCCCACAACTCGGAGGGACTGGGAGGAATTATCTTCAACTAAACCAGACGTGACGTTCTAGGATCTGACATCCTTCATCCAGCGAAGAGTGACTGTTCTGCAAACGATCCAGGGAAAAGCTGTCGACACTCCAGCATCTACTCAACAGATGAAAAGGTCCAGTCAACGTGTCGTTGCTTGTCATGGGGCCAATCAAGTTCACGCTGGCCGGAAATGCGTCGTGTGTTCTGATCATCACCCAGCTGTTCTCGAAACTCGACATCGAAGCGAAGGAAAAGGAAGTTCGCCGCCATCAACTATGCCGCAACTGCCTGCGCACCGGTCACCAAGCTCGAGACTGTTCGTCATCCAGTTCCTGCCGAAAGTTTCGAGGTCGTCACCACACACAGCTCTGCTCCGGGATGAATTCTGCCACTGTAAGCTCCAGGCAACCAAGTCCTCAATCAACAGCCACAGCGAAGCTCGAACAGTCGAGCTACCGTCACCGGACCTTCAAGCCATGCAAGCACCGCTCAAGCACGAAAGGGCGTGCTTTTGGCTACCGCAGCCGTTAAACTAGTGAACGACAACGGCACTGAACATGTTGCCAGAGCGCTTCTCGATTCCGGTAGTGAATGTTGCTTCATTACCGAATCAATCTCGCAAGTCATCAAATCTCAACGCACAAAAATATCCGTTCCGATCAGTGGCATTGGGCAATCATCAACGTACGCACGGTACAAGATCGTCGCTTCGATTCAATCAAGGGTTTGTGACTACTGCACCTCTGCCGAGTTCCTTGTACTGCCCAAAGTTACCATCGATTTGCCATCTGTTCAAGTCGACACTTCTTCTTGGACTATTCCCCCCGGTGTTCAGCTAGCCGACCCATTGTTCTACGAATTAAATCCAGTGGATATTATCATTGGCGCAGAAGTATTCTTTGAGCTCTTTAAGGTTTCAGGTCGCATTCAGCTCGGCGAATCCCGTCCAACCTTGGTCAACGTGGTTCTTGGTTGAATAGTGTCTGGAAAGACTTCGCACGGCACTCCGAGGTCTCCAATCATCGCCAATGTTGCAACGATCGAAGAAGACGAAAGCACTCCAAACCATTCCGTCGAAGAAGCCGCTTGCGAAGAACACTTTCGACACACCATGAAGCGCAACTCTGAGGGAAGGTATATTGTTCGCTTACCCGTGAAGGAAAACGTCATCGAACAACTTGGTGACAACCGTTCTACTGCCGGCCGTCGTTTTCGAATGCTGGAAGGTCGACTTGTTCGTAACCCAGCCATAGCGCAGCAATACCGTGACTTCATGGACGAATACCTTGCTTTGGGCCACATGAAGCAGGTGTTTGACTACCAGTCGCCTCCATCTCCATGCTATCATATGCCTCACCGTAGCCGGCGCCGGTGGTGTAGTGGTAAGCGTGACTGCTTTCTAACACCCCAATGGGTCTGGGTTCAATCACCAGCCGAGGTCGGTGGGATTTTTCTGAGGCATAAAAATTTCTGGTCACGTCTTCCTTCGGAAGGGAAGTAAACACGTTGGTCCCGGCCCATGTGTGTTGTGAATGGGTGCGATATCCTACGCAGGTGTGGAAGCTGCCTTCCTGCACATTCGGTTGCCGTCAATGGATGGCAATCGATGTCCGTCGGTGATTGGCAATAGATTGCGGAACAGAGACCGACGTTAAATAAAGGAAAAGAAGGATATGCCTCACCACGCTGTATTTCGAGAAGAGAGCACTACTACGAAGCTGCGAGTGGTCTTCGATGCATCATGCAAGACCCCGGAGGAACCATCGCTCAACGACGCACTCATGGTAGGTCCAACCGTGCAGCAAGAGATTCGGTCAATCATCATGCGCTCCCGAATCTGTCGAATAATGGTCATCGCTGATGCCAAGCAGATGTACCGACAAGTACTCGTAGACGAACGGGACACTCTGCTTCTACGAATTGTTTGGACGACATCATCGGAGCTATCACTGGGTACCTATGAGCTGCTAACTGTAACTTATGGCACTGCAAGCGCGCCCTTTCTCGCTGCTCGTGTTCTCCTGCAACTTGCAGATGATGAACAGGACAGCTTTCCAGAGGCAGCCGAAGTCTTACGTAAGGACTTCTACGTGGACGATCTTTACTCGGGGGCAAGCAGCGTGTGATGTCTCGTCTCATGTCCAATCACTATTGTCTAAATGCTCACTTGTTCCGTGTGGGGTTGGGAGACAGCAATCTCTGTGAATGTGGACAAGGTTACCAGGACGCTGATCACATCCTTTGGTCTTGTGCGGAGTATCGTGGAGTCAGATCACATTTTTATGATTCCCTTCGGGCTCGAGGTAGACAACCTAATGTTCCAGTTCGGGATATTTTGGCTAGACGCGATCTGGAGTTTATGAAACTCATATATGTTTACTTTAAGAATATTAACCTTAGATTGGAAGTTTGATTAACCTTGTGTTTAAAAAAAATGTAAATCTCAACTAACCTCGAGACAACCGCGAGTATTCGGTCCAGTTCCTTTAACTTTAAATATAAGACAGTAATAATGTATAAAGGAAAGGATAACTCGGCTCTGTAAAGTTTATTCGATTGAGCCTGTACAAATAAAGTAATTAATTAAAAAAAAAAAAACTAAATTCTAACAAAAAGTGCTAAAAGTTTCTTATAATATGCGTTAGAAAAAATTGGAACTGAAACGAGTAATCTTGATGAATAGGGCTGTCTCCTCCTCCAATATCCAATAGCTTGCTTCCATCTTAGCAGCATTCGCATCCAGCACCTTGAAGAAATTGAAATTTTCACCCAATGACGGTCTCCCACTTCCATTTTGGAAGCCAAAACGAACGGTGTGTGTGGCACTAGAGTCACCGAAAATTAATCTAATTAATCTTAAACAATTTTCAATTTTTGGATTTGAAATTGTTTAATAAACTTATTGGAAAAGTTATACATAAATTTATAAAGATGAAATCTACATTACTCAAAAATCATGACAAATCCTTAAGTTTAATTTCGTGAATTTTAAAATAAGGCTGAGTCAAAAATCTTTTATCTACATTTATAAAAAGAAACAACCTATAATTAAAGTGACCGGTTTATATCACAATAAAGTGAATACCACATCACAATATCATGTTTGTTAGCATACAAAAATCGAAAACACATCATAGGGGCCCCACTATAAAAAAAATAGACCAGGGCTCCCAAGGATGGTAAAGACGGCCCTAAATATGGGCAATAAGTTGTATTAGCAACATATCTTTAATTCTCCAAAGTGCCTGGACGATCTTAACTCTAGGATAGTATTGAGACCCCACAATACTTTATCATTACAAGTATACATTCCATATGAAATTATGAAGCTCCACGAAGCTCTACGGGCTTCTACCTGGGCTACCTGGACATCGAGCATACTAATCGATCTAAAGTCCAGGATAATTTGGAGAATCTGAAATATGTTTTCAAACCAACTACATATCTCACATGATATTGAGGAGTTAGACGAAGATGTGTGGATTTAAAAATTTAGTCGGGATATCATTTTGTTAAAAGACCTTTAAATCTCCCATATGAGGTATCACGAAGCTCTACTGTTTCATTCATTCAGTCGGGTTCAGTGACTTCATTGACAGAACTTCAAGATCAATTCTCCAGGGTGGTTTGGTATTATGCCATGTAAATGCTGTTTTGAATTGCATATGATGTATTTCAGGCAAGTTTTCATTATCTTGGACCCAATACTAAAACAGACAGGTTATTACAAGAACGATTTTTCAAAAGGATTCACCAACATGGTATGATGGTGGCATTCGTTTGCTAAGGTAAGCTAAGAGCTTCGACAAATTGACGTTTGAATGTTTTCAAAAGCAGATACGAAAGTTCACAGGGCTGTCATAGAAACGCTATGCGAATGAATAATCGGGTCCATCTAACACCATCTCCGATACTCCGAAATTCCGCCATAGAGTAGAGATGGTGCTTGAATTTTTCCAAGCCCCCCGAAAGCTTAATCTCAGAAAACCACAAACCGTACAAACTTTATACCTACGTTCTGGCATTGCCCTACTGACTGGTTGCATTGGGTACTGCCAGTTGCAGCAGCTGTAGAGCAACGTCAGTCGGTCACTCAGAGACTCCCAGCAGTCAGCACCATCGCCATCATCATGAACAGTATGAACAGGCACAGCTGTGTGACGGACGACGACGACGACGACGACGACGACGGTGGCAGATTCCTACTGCAAATTCCGCATAGCACAGCGGTCGCATAAATGAACTTTATCCAGCCAAGCGTGGTAGTGTGCGCTAGTAGTGAGGGCGCGAAACTCCAACCTACTACTGACTAGTTTCGTCGACTACCGCACCTAGGAACTATGTACTGTTCGAGCTGCGCTAATCAGTTGGGTGACAATGCTGCCCGAGAGTGGATCGTTTCCCGCTTGAGATCGCCACGCTGCTGCTGGAAGACCACGCGCGCCGAGAGTCTCTGCTGTGAAATTGATATTACGAGAAAACTAGCTCGTAATTTGTTTCCGCTTTCGCTGGGATTTAATCTGATTAAAAAAAAAGTGTCGCGGCTCGCGTGTGTGGTATCGTTTTGCATTTTGAATTCGTAGCTTGATTTTATTTTTTTTCGGCGGTGGTTTGCCAACAGAGTGCGATAGTGGAATAATATGTGCGGAAAAGTGATGACTGCGGTTTGGTGGTCGCTGGCTGTGATACTGCAGCTGTCGATTATCCAATTAGGTCAAGCGCAGCGAATAATTGGTGAGAGAAAATTCCCCGCCGGTTCTGGTTTAAACGAGATTGATTTGATTGACCGACGACCCGTGGGTTTGATTTGTCGTTTGTTGCAGGTGATCGTGTGTACCAGCCCAAGATCGCCGATCTGTACATTACGGTGAATGCGCGCCACCGGATGCTGGAGTTGACCTGGAGGAATTTCAACGACCCTACCGGGTTCATTGTGTTAACGCAAGATTATCCTATTAAAGAGTTTCAACAGAAGCTATTCTATTCTACGTACGACGATCTACAGGCAATGGGCCAGGAAAGTACACCCAGAAGCAATGATTTCGGTGGCGAAGGAAGTGGAGACGTTGAGGGTGAAGAATCATTGACGACGATGACGACGACGGAGCAATCGGTAATTTCGACCACCCCGATGGTGGAGATGGCATGGGAGTACGACTTCCGCGATGAGTACGGAGAACGGAAGCGGGAGGTTCTGGTTTCCATCCAACCGATGTACACGAACGGGTGGACTACGACCGGTGAGTGTGTTAACCTGCAGTGATGGGAGGTTCAATTCATTAGCATCAATTGCGGTGGGATTGGGCAAATATTGAACTTTCGGTAAATGTTGATGTGGAAGATATATTGGGAATGAGAGAAATTGTGCAAAGGTGTGCTCAAATAATGATCAATGGAATCATTGTTCTTGAGCTGGATTCTACCGTTTTGAAGGTTAGACAAGTGTATCAACAAATTGGTTTGCGACATAAAGTTTTTCAATTGATTGGTACTTCTTAGTAAATTTCAGAGGTAAGCACATTTGTTTGAATGAAGCTTGCACAAAGGGGGTCTTCACTCGATATCATGGTGCACAAAAGCATTAGCACAATTTTAGCTTGTATAGGAAATGACAACATTTTAAGAAGACTGAGAACTCTCCCAAACAGACAAATGAACTGCGTTCCATTTAAAAAAAAAATAGCAGATGGTAATTCAAATGTTTTCATCTTCTGCTTATGTAGAAACGGATGCACATGCCAGTGATTTGTTCATTTTGTCTGGAGCAGGTAACATTGAAAATGAACAACCAAGCAACAAACCTAATCAGCCGAACTCCAGCTTAAAAATAATGCAAAATGGATATTTTCGGAACGGGGACGATGGGTAGACGACGCCATTCAAGAATCGGATTCAAGTTGGCAGCCAGCTGATAGCGAATAAGCATCTTAACCCACTCAATATGGGTATCTACAGAAGCGGCTCGACGTGCTATAGCTGAAAATCGAATTCGAAATGGCGAGTCTGAATTAATAATTATGTACAGTGAATACGCATATGAACCCTTAAAATATGAGAATCTGGAGAATTAGGTCAACGAGTATAAGCTGAAAATCGATGTCCGCTGCCATTTTTGAATTCCATATCGCAAACCCGGATTGAAGTTGCCAGCCATCGGTCCACGGCTGTCCACCACCATCTTGAGTTCCACGATAGTGGACCGGGATTCAATATGGCGGTCATTGGATAGAGTATACGCATTTGAACTCATGCAATAAATCTACGCAATGGGTTTGACTCCTCGAGCTCATTCCTTAGATAACCATGTTTGTTCATTTTCCTTTAGTCGCAGTCTTGAAACCACGTCCTTGATTTTGGATGTCAATATGGCTGCGGCTATCGATTTTCAGCTTCTTTTCGTTTGCAGAGGATACAAACAATGCTAGCTGCAGAACATGCTCTTGGATCATCTTGCAAATTTTTACCTAAATTCAGCTAACATTGTTTGGTGGGCACTAATATCAACATCCAGTAGTCGTGCAGATCTGAAAACAGTTAGATTAATTTCGAATCGTCAATCGTGTCCTTAGGGAGCTGGTCGTTTTGCGGAAGAACATTTCACCGAAACATGCATAGTTATTCCAAGATTAACTTTTCATGAAAACATTTTTGAATTAAAGGATTTGAATGTTACATGAGATTTGGTTTTCCTTCTTTTAAATTTTACTCATTCTTCCCTTAAATTAATGATTTTATTAAATGTTTCTTACTTTTAAACATAAGCAACTGCAACTCATAATCTACTATTCTTGTCAATAGCTTTGCGAACCAGAATTAATTTTTTTACTGATATTGTACATCCTTCTTTTGATTATGTGTGTATTTGATTAATTCGCATGTTTAATGAAATACTAGAACAAAAATAATTGAAAAACGTTCTACAAATTTTGTTTGGTATGACGTTTTGAGTATCCCGTTTCTTTTGATGATGATGATGATGATACTGATGAACTACCACCTATTCTAGCAAGGCACCTACAAATAGCAATGGACTATTCTTACCCCATGACTTGATCAAGATTTATTTTCTGGTCGTACTCATACTACCCCTGTGTGAAGTACCAAAAACAGTGGGTGGACCCGTAAGCAGAGACACTTACGCAAAATCCACGGAAACGATAGAGAATCTCCTTCCAGAAGTAAGTTCTTACATCCAGAACCCAAACCAAGCCATTTTGTAGATGAATATCCCTATAGGCGGGGAGAAGCGCCCACCGTCAATCCACGAAATGCTAGCAACATGTTTTTTGGCAATCCTAATATCCCCATCCAAATTGCTTCAATTGTGTGCCCTATAGGTCCGTCCTGGTTCCCGATAATTAAACAAATTGGCTACGCAAGAAGCACCCAGCTGTAGCTTTTGTAATTTTAAATAAACCATTTAAATATTTTTTAAAACAAAATAATAGACATATTTTAAATAATGCTTACTGCTGAATGCTTTTTGTATTTAATCAATATTTGATCAACCTTACCTCACCAACCACTTACCTTTGTTGTCGTTGACATTTTTCCTTGGACGGATACCTACTTCGTTTACGTAAGTCTATTATCTTTGTTTGATGAAAATAGACAGTGCCAATCTCCGGGTATTTTCTTGACGAGCATCACTCCATTTTCGTATCGCATGTGCTCAATTTTGCTGCACTCCTTTCACTTTTACTTTGTTGACTCCATGGTACCACAAAAGATATAAATACATACATTATTAGTAATACTGTGATATAACCACAACAGGATGGTCGTTCAGAATGGTTCGACGGATGTGAAATGAGGGAAAAATTTAAATTTAACACGATTTAAAGTATTTAAATGCAACATAACAATTTTTTGACTTACAATTATCACAGTTTTCAATTTGATATCTTGCCTAGATTCTGGAAGCATTTACTTATGGTTTATACAACCATTTACAATATTCATATCGTATCTTCAAGTGATCTTCACAAGCGCCACATTTCATTCAGGCTGTTTGGAACTACATGTGGTGAAATATGAAACGTACCTTTTAATGTGAATTTCTCATAACAATGACAAGTGTCATCACTTAATCACACATGAAATCTGTCTAGACAATCTGGCAGAACGCGCCCCTGAACCAAGGGACACCTTAAACGATTTATTTTAAAGAAACATTCTATACAGAATCTAAAGGGTGATACGGTCAAAATTTGGTCAATATCAACTTGACGTATTTCTTTCAATTTTGCATTTAAAAAACCTGAACACCCCTCATTTTGAAGGTGTGTGTGTGTAGAATGTTGCTCCTATTTTGATTTTGGAATTCACTCTTCAGTTGTCAAAATGCCGTCCAAGCAAGAAGAGCAGCGTATCAAAATTTTGCTCGCGCATCGCGAAAATCCGAACTACTCGCACGCAAAGTTGGCAAAATCGCTAAAAGTTGCCAAATCAACCGTTACAAATGTTACTAAAGTGTTTGGGGAACGTTTGTCGACAGCCAGGAAGTCTGGATCGGGGGGAAATCGAAAACCGGAAGCCGCTGAGACGACAAAGAGAGTTGCCGGTAGTTTCAAGCGAAACCCTAACCTCTCTCTCCGAGATGCCGCAAATAAGCTGGGTGTATCGTCTACAACCGTGCATCGAGCCAAAAAACGAGCCGGACTATCGACTTACAAGAAGGTAGTGACTCCAAATCGCGATGATAAACAAAATACGACGGCCAAAGCGCGATCCCGGAGGCTGTACACGACAATGCTGACGAAGTTTGACTGCGTGGTAATGGGCGACGAAACCTACGTCAAAGCCGACTACAAGCAGCTTCCGGGACAGGAGTTTTATACGGCAAAAGGAAGGGGAAAGGTAGCAGATGTTTTCAAGCACATGAAACTGTCAAAGTTCGCAAAGAAATATCTGGTTTGGCAAGCCATCTGTACCTGTGGCTTGAAAAGCAGCATTTTCATAGCTTCCGGGACTGTCAACCAAGAAATTTACGTGAAAGAGTGTTTGAATAAACGTCTGCTGCCTTTCCTGAAGAAACACGGTTGTTCCGTACTGTTTTGGCCGGATTTGGCATCTTGCCATTACGGTAAAAAGGCCATGGAGTGGTACGCCGCCAACAACGTGCAGGTGGTTCCCAAGGACAAGAACCCTCCCAACACGCCAGAGCTCCGCCCAATTGAGAAATACTGGGCTATTGTCAAGCGGAACCTAAAGAAGACCAAAAAAACTGCTAAGGGCGAGCAGCAGTTCAAGGCAAACTGGCTTTCTGCGGCGAAGAAGGTGGACAAGGTGGCTGTACAAAATCTGATGGCAGGGATCAAGCGTAAGGCCCGGCAATTCGGATTTGGAAAAGCGGAAGCCTAACTGAATATTTTTCCTGAATTTTATACTAATTGAACTTGAAAAAGAAATTTAATTTGATTTTTTAAATAAACGAATGGAGAATCAAGTATATGCACATAATCTTGGTAGTTAAGGGAATCAAAAGAAACCCTGTTGAATTCTGAAAAATCAAGGGATTTGGAGAATCAAATGATTCTGGAGAATTCAAGGGATTCTGGATAATCAAGGGATTCTGGAGAATCAAGGGACTCGCGAGAATCAAGGGATTCACAAGAATCAAGGGATTCACAAGAATCAAGGGATTCGCGAGAATCAAGGGATTCGCGAGAATCAAGGGATTCTGGAGACTCAAGGGATACTGGAGACTCAAGGGATTCTGAAGAATCAAGGGATTCTGGAGAATCTAATTTTTTTTGGAGAATCAAAGGATTCTGGAGAATCATCATTATTTTTATTATTGTTATTATTATTATTATTATTAGTATTATTATTAATATTATTATTATTATTATTATTATTATTATTATTATTATTATTATTATTTTTATTATTTTTTTTTCATATTATTATTATTATCATTATTATTATTTTATTTCAGATGTTTTCCATTTTAACCAATTCATTCGCCTCTAAATTTTATTTAGATTTAATTCCCGACAGCTGTATCCAATATGAAAAAAGAAGATTGCGGTTTGGTGTTGCACCTGAATTTTAAAAATGGTATACTGCAATGTATTGGAAACGGGATGAAAATATTAATTTTCTTGTCGAAATTTCAGTAATTGCTCAATGACGTTCATATCTGAAATGAAACTCAACAAAATCAAGCAGAACAGTATTTTCCAAGACCGCACATTGATTTGGCAAACAGCAAATATGGAGGCTGCCATTAGAATAGCAGTTTTATGGTGGTTTTAACGAAGCTTTTAAGATTCTGACTGTTGTTGATTTGCATACGCTTGATTGGAAACTGTCCCATTGAATACAGTTAAATCCGTTTTAAACAACCACTCCATCCACCAATGGAACCCACCGAGCTGAATTATATATTATCCAAATTATGAATTTCTGCTCAATTAATCGCCAACTCCGAGTGGAAGTCAATCGAACACAAACGATTGAAATTAAAAATCTTCGAATCGTGTGCTCTTGCGGGTGTACATACATTTATGGAAAATCACAGAGCCATCCTCTGTGATGGCACACATGATTGTCCAGGGGCACAGTTATACATATTTACTCGGTTGCAATTTTTAATTTGCATGATTGTTTCAATATTGGACAATTGATTGGTTTGAGCGAAATGGTGGGAGTATAGATGTGATTTCAATTAGGTCCTGGCCTGACCGCACCCGTTGCGGTCGGTTCGATTGTTATGGTTGAAATTACCACCCATTTTCCGAATGGACCACCTGATGATGCAGATGCTTGATTGGAATTTAAGTTGTATTTGTTTATGACGCAAAATGGCGCGAAATGTGTAATTCAATTTTTATCACATTATGCAAATTAGCGATGGTTCCGATTTACCATGGGAACCACCTGACTCACGACGGACGTGAATCATACTCGCTACTCCCGCACTCTCACGTCTAATTATAGTCACGTCACCGTGGCAGCAACGGCAGAGGCAATCTTGTCCAATTAGCGCAATCTGACTCATGTACAGCTTCCTCCCTTCTCGGTGTGTTTCGTTTCAGACATATTCTACAACCGCGAGTGGCTGGACCAGGCGGACATTACGACGAGCTGTCACGGGTACTATGCATACTTCATCAACGCAAATGGCACCATTCTGTCTGAGCACTGCATGAAGCTGTACCCCACCTGGATGAACGATTTGCGGCCGCACGTGGGCCAATTCCGCATGAGGGAACTGTTCATACCGGGAACGCACGATTCCGCGTCGTACAAGAAGAATGCCTACTACCAGGAGAACATCGTTACCAAGTATTCGCTGACGCAGGACGATGACATCCGGAAACAGCTGCTGCAGGGTGTTCGATACATTGATCTGCGGGTTGGCTACTACCAGGTATCGAATCCGCAATTTTGGGCAAATCATGGAATTACGCGGCTGCATCCCTTGAAGCAGATACTGCAGCAGATTCGAGATTATGCCCTGGAAACGAATGAGATTATCATTGTGGACGTGCAGGAGTTCCCGGTGGGATTCGGGAAACAGTACGACGTTCATGACAAGTTGATCAGGTTCTTGAATGAAACCCTCCATGACGTAATGGCAGATCCGTCGATTAGCTGGTACGGACGCCTATCGGACATCTGGGCCAGGAACAAAACGGTGATCCTGTGCTACGATCACGAGTACGCCATGAGGTCCTATGCGGATGTGGTTTGGCGTTCGGCTGAGCAGAAGTGGGGTGACGTTCAGAGTATGGAAGAGCTTAAATCCTTCCTATTCAAGGTGCACACGAGACACTTTTTCGGGTACACTAACCGTCCGGTAGCCGATATGGCAGAACTTACGCCGGATCCGTGGGGAATCATCACCGATCGCTACGGAGGCCTCCGGAAGATGGCCGATTCCGTCAATCGGTCCGTAACCAAGTGGTACTTTGAAGAACTGGGCCCGACGGCGAACATAGTTGCCGTGGATTTCATCCGGGGAACCAGCATCGTCGATGCCGCCATCTATTGGAACCAGAAGAGGGTTCCCGGCCGTGTTCAATAAAGTGGATTTTATTTTCTCTATCGGTTAGTAGTAAAATCTTTCAGAAAGAAAAAAAAGAGTCCCTCAAGAGCGCATAAACCTCAGTCCTGTCTGTCGTTGCTATCGGCTTCCGTCGCTGATTGCAGTGGTGAAGTGGTTGAAGAGGGTTCTGCTACTTATGCATTCATGACGATGAGAAGGGGTGAAAGGGATTGACCTCCTGCTCCAAGCCCACCCACACCCCTCAGGCTGCTCGTTTGAGTCCTTGGAGAGCACGTAGAGTGGTAACACGCGCGCGCGTGTAGGTCTGTGGGAGGACATCTGCATTCTTTCAGTTTCAGTCCCAGAGTGGGCGGGTGGGTTGGTTCTTGGTAGTAGTTACAGTATACATGGGGTAATGTTTCATAATGCTGGTGATTTATGGGCGACTATTTTGCCTTTCTTCCGTCTTCCGGGGCTGCTCCTTCATGTAACTACAACCGTCACCGACAGAAAGACCCGGGAAAGCTATGTAGGACGGTTGGTTGTTTTCCTGGAACTACTTTAACAGCCTTCCTTTGTGCGTACGTATGCTTGCTTCCAAGCTCAGGGAAAATAATGGGATCGAGGATGAGCAGGAATAAGCTATGGGATGTTTGCAGGTGCTTTCGTCGGGTTTGCCGTGTGACAAATGGATTTTGGGTGGGTCCGAGTGTGGGAAAGTGTCTTTCCGGGAAACAAGGTTGCATAGTTTGCTGCGAACTTACCGGGAGATGATGTTTGATGTAGCAAGGAACTTGGAAACGATTGGTTGGCGCTTTAATGTGTCACATTTATCATTCCGCGATTTGCTTTACGGAAGTATAAAGACTTAAAAGTTTTATCAATTGCAGCCAGACGTAGTCAGGTTTGGAAAAAATAGAAGCTAAACTAACTGCACATTAGGGTGGATCAAAACCCGTGGCTTCCCAAAGCTCTTTCGATTCGTATTGAGGTCCTTAGCAACTGTGCCATATATGATCGAATTCGGTTACGATCTGGATTGGCGGGAGAGCTATAAAGTTTGTATGGAATTTTTTTGGGAAACGGAACTTGTCATAATTTAAAAAAATGCTCAATTTTTACAAAACATGGGACTTAGATTGAGAAAACTTTGGGTGTTGTTGATTTGTTTAAACGTTGAATTGCAACAGCACAGTGCTTAGGGTCTCGATAGAAACTTGATGATTTTTTGGATGATTTTCAAGTAACAGACGGATGTTCTAAGTGACTATTGATCTTAAGAAAATTTTGAGAGATTGCATTGAAATAACAGGGAGTTTGGGTATATTTAAATTTGATAATTTTTTGGATAGCTTAAATTTTGTGTGGATGAAAAACATCAGGAGTGCGTATGGGGTGTGATCTCACCACTTCGGAATCACTTCGGAAAGTACTGAATCATTTCAGAAAGTACTGCATAACCTATACAAAGTTCGAAATCATTTCAGAATCGTTTTCACTCCTGTGCTCAATTACCTACTTCAAAAATGTTTTCACTCACTTCGGAAAGTACTGAATCACTTCGTAATGTATTGTATCACTTTAGAAATGTTCGGAATCACTTTTGAGCGAACTGAATCAAATCAGAAAAGTTGGGAATCACTCCAGAAAGTGCTGTATTAATTTAGAAATGTTCGGAGTCTCTTTGAAAAAGTTAGAAATCACTTTCGCAAGTACTGAATCACTTCTAAAATAACTGAATCATCTTAGAAAAGTTTTTAATCACTTCAAAATGTACTGACTAAATGATCGGCATCACTTAAGAAAAACTCGGATTCCTTTTGGAAAGTACGGAATCACTTAAAAAAAAAATTGGAGTTACTTCGGAAAGTAGTTTATCACTTCAGAAATGATTGAAAAATTCAGAATCACTACAGGAATGTTCGGAGTCCATTCAATAAGGACAGAATCGCTTCATAAAAGGTCGGAATCACTTAGGAAAGTACTGAATAAATTATGAAAAGTTTGCAATCACTTCAGAAAAGTTTGGACTCACTTCAGAAAGTGCTCAATTACTTCAAATTCACTTTAGAAATGTTCGGAATCACTTTTGAACGTACTGAATCAAATCAGAAAAGTTGGGAATCACTTTAGAAAGTACTGAATCGATTCAACAATGATCGGAGTCTCTTCGGAAAGTACTGGATCACTTCGGAAAAGATTGGAATTACTTCATAATTTACTCAATCACTTCAAAAGAGTTTCGAGTCACTTTGGAAAGTACTGAGAATCTTCAGAAAATTGTTGATTCTCTTTGAAAAGTACTGAATCACTTCAGAAAAGATAGAAATCACTTCCGTCAGTACTCAATCATTTCTAAAAGAACTGAATGAGTTTAGAAAAGTTTGCAATCCCTTCACAATGTACTAACTAACTTCAGAAATAATCGGAATCACTTTAGAAAACTCTGATTCATTTTGGAATGTACTGAATCACTTAAGAAATGTTTGGAGTCACTTCGGAAAGTAGTTTATCACTTTAGAAATGTTTTGAAAATTCTGAATCACTACAGGAATGTTCGGAATCCCTTCGAAAAGGACTGAATCGCTTCATAAAAGGTCGGAATCACTTAGGAAAGTACTGAATAAATTATGAAAAGTTCGCAATTACTTCAGAAAAGTTTGGACTCACTTTGGAAAGTACTTTTGGAATGTATTGTATCACTTTAGAAATGTTCTGAATCACGTTTGAACGCACTTAATCAGTTCAGAAAAGTTGGGAATCGCTTCAGAATGTACAGAATCGATTCAGAAATGTTTGGAGTCTCTTCGAAAGAACTGAATCACTTCGGAAAAGTTTGGAATTACTTCATAATTTACTCAATCACTTCAGAACAGTTTAAAGTCTCTTTGGAAAGTGCTGAAAATCTTCAGAAAATTTTGGATAATCTCCGGAAAAGTTAGAAATCACTTCCGTCAGTACTGAATCATTTCTAAAACAACTGAATCATTTTTGAAAAGTTTGCCATCACTTCGAAATGTACTGACTAACTAAAGAAATTATAGGAATTACTTTAGAACAAATCGGATACATTTTGGAAAGCGCTGAATCAGTTTATTTAGAAAGGTTTGGAGTCACTTCGGAAAGTAGTTTATTGCTTCAGAAATGTTCGGAATCACTTTGGTAAATACTGAATCACTGCAGTAATGTTCGTAGTCGTTTGTTTTGACTCACTTCTGAATGTACTGAATCACTTTGGAATGTATTGTATCACTTTTGGAATGTTCGGAATCACTTTTGAACGAACTGAAGTTGGGAATCACTTCAGAAAGTACTGAATCACTTCGGAAAAGTTTGGAATTTCCAAATCTACTCAATCACTTCAGAAGAGTTTAGAATCACTTTTGAAAGTACTGAAAATGTTCATTAAATTTTGGGTTCACTTTGGAAAGTACTGAATCACTCTAGAAAAGATAGAAATCACTTCCGTCAGTACTGAATCAATTCTAAAAGAACTGAATAATTTTAGAAAAGTTTGCAATCACTTCACAATGTACTGACAAACTTCAGAAATTATCGGAATAACTTAGAAAAAAACTCGGATACATTTTGGAAAGTACTGAATTACTTTAGACATGTTTGGAGTCATTTCGGAAAGTAGTTTATCACTTCAGAAATGTTTGGAATCACTTCGGTAAATACTGAATCACTTCAGGAATGTTTCGAGTCACTTAAATAAGGACTGAATCGCTTCATAAAAGTTCGGGATCACTTCGGAAAGTACTGAATCATTTCATAAAGTTTTATAGCTTATAAACAGTTCGAAATAACTTCAGAAAAGTTTGGACTCACTTCGGAAAGTGCTCAATCACATCGTAAATGTTTTCAGTCACTTCGAAATGTACTTAATTACTTCGGAATGTATTGTTTCACTTTTGGAATGTTCAGAATCACGTTTGAACAAACTTAATCGAGTCAGAAAAGAAATCACTTTAGACATGTTCGGAGTCGCTTCGGAAAGTACTAAATCACTTCGGAAAAGTTTGGAATTATTTCAGAATTTACTCAATCACTTCAGAAGAGTTTAGAATCACTTTGGAAAGTACTGAAAATTTGCATTAAATTGTGGGATCTCTTTGGAAAGCACTGAATCACTCCAGAAAAGATAGAAATCACTTCCGTCAGTACTGAATCATTTCTAAAAGAACTGAATAATTTTAGAAAAGTTTGAAATCACTTCACAATGTACTGACTAACTTCAGAATTGATAGGAATCACTTTATAAAAACTCGGATACTTTTTGGAAAGTACTGAATCACTTTAGAAATGTTTGGAGTCACTTCGGAAAGTAGTTCATCATTTCAGAAATGTTTGGAATCACTTTGGTAAATACTGAATCACTTCAGGAATGTTTGGAGTCGCTTCGAAAAGGACTGAATCGCTTCATAAAAGTTCGGAATTACTTCGGAAAGTACTGAATCATATCAGAAAGTACTGAATAACTGTTGAAAAGTTCAAAATCACTTCAGAAAAGCTTTGACTCATTTAGGAAAGTACTGAATCCCTTTGAAATGTATTGTATCACTTTTGGAATGTTCGGAATCACTTTTGAACGTACTTTATCTATTCAGAAAAGTTGAAAGTACCAAATCACTTTAGAAATGTTCAAAGTCTCTTCGGAAATTATTGAATCACTCCGTAAAAGCTTGGAATCACTTCTGAATCTTCTGAATCACTTCAGAAGAGTTTAGAATCACTTCAGAAAGTACTGAATCACTTTAGAAATGTTCAAAGTTTCTTCGGAAAGTACTGAATCACTCCGGAAATGTTTAAAATCACTCCTGAATCTACTGAATCACTTCAGACGAGTTTAGAATCACTTTGGAAAGTACTGAAAATATTCAGAAAATGTTGGATTCACTCCGGAAAGCACTGAATCATTCTGGAAAAGTTTGAAATTACTTCCGGAAGTACTGAATCATTTCTAAAAGAACTTAATCATTTTAGAAAAGTTGGTAATCACTTCACAACATACTGACTAACTGCAGAAATGATCGGAATCACTTTAGAAAAAAAAATC